CTCAGCACCAGCCCTGAGAAAGAAGCGCCTCTGCTCATGCCATTCTGCTGGCAAGCTTGCTGGAAGTCAGCAGTCCTGCTAACCTGGCTTGTGTACCAAGGACCAACACCTTCAAAACTCTCCCTCAATAAAACGACTTTGCTCCCATGTCCAACACTGGCTTGCCCACTCTCTGAGACTTCATCCTGTATGCACAGTAGACCAAGAAGGAAGAGCCTGTCAGCTGTGTGTCCTTCCTTAACTTGCTGGTGGCTACTAGAATATCCGCCCAGGAAACTTGAGAACATCAACTCCTAAATTAGAGATGACGGGATCGATAGTTTCTGGGGGATCAGGGAAAGTCAGTGTGAAACCAGGGAGATATGGCTACCTTTCCCTCCTGCTTTTGTGGTCACCATCTGTTACTAATACAGACTTGGGTTTGTTCCACGAGACCCAGGAATACCTTTGAACATAAAGGCATAGGGCCGATTACTTCGGATTCTGCATATTGTGTTTTAGTGATTTGGTTCTCCGAGCGTCTGTGCCTCTGTTGTAACTGCTTTTCTAATTTCAGTGTCTCTGGCACTGTGTCCTGTGTGTGCACTTGAGGACTATTGCATGTAGGAACTCACGAATTTAAATGTAATATCATTCATCGAACCTGGAAACTCCCTGAAGCATACTCACATTTGGCCACCAGGGGGCAGTCTTTGCCTACTTTGAAACGGTGTCATCTTGTGAGAATACGTCTTCCCGAGAAAACTGAGTTGGAAAGCGTCTCAAAAGTTACTTCTTTTTGAAGTAACTTACTCCTGCTGTCCTCTTGCCAGAGTTTGTCTAAGCAGAAGGTAAGGTAACATTTCATTCTCAATTGCTAATCCAGGCCGGTAGCCACAAGCCTACCAATCAAAGGAGAAATGTGGAACTGACCAGTCAGGCTCGGCAGGATTTGCACAGTGAGATAGGGTCCCCGCCCAAAGAGTTTAGAATGCAACCGAAGGGTCCCGCGTTGGCTCACAGGCCGCAGTGGCAGGATTAAAGGTGTGCACCACCACAGCCTGGTGTCTCGTGCCTTAGCTCTGCAGGCTCATCTTCAGGCAAGCTGTATTTGTTAAAACATTGACAAAATATCACTACCCTTCTCACCAGTGAGATTCAAGCAAGACTTAGAAAAGGCTAAACACAGGCTCTATGTACATCTTAAGAGGAAAGGAAGCAGCATCCCTAGGGTAGCAGCTGTATAAGCACCAGAAGACACTGATTCACCAGTGTGTAGATTTTCACCCCATTCAGTGGCCGCCCCTTCTGCAACTGCAGCTCCACTGACACCAGCAGCGGCTCAGCCACAAGGGCCACAACCAGCTGGGAATTCTGTTCCCTCACGCACCCACCGGCTCTCTCAAAGTCACCAAGGGAAACTTTAGATCTCTGTCCCTCTGTAGAGCTCAGGATTCAAGGTTGAGGTGAAATCCTGCCCGCTCAGAGAGGCTGAACCGTAAGCAGCTAACTTTCCTTGCTCGTGTCTGGCGAAAGCCCACCCGGCCTCTGACCTGCCGCCACTTAAGAACCCTGGCTATACCTGGTTCCTCCCTACCACTTCCTGTCAGCTAGTTGCTGACGCAGCTTCCCGACCACAGGTGAATTTTATTTAATCAAACAAGTGGAACATGATTTTGCATTGTAAACAAAAGCAGTAGGAAATGTAACACACCTTAAAATAATGTTCCACAACCCACCAACACTTGAGAAGACCTTACGAGGCAGGTCACGTGTTCCATGCTTTACAAACACTGCTTTCAAGTCTAATAATTGGTCTAATTTTATATCAGCTTGTCTTAAGAGTCATCTGACATGAAGGAATCTCAATTATGAAAATGCCTCCATAAGATCCAGCCTGTGGGGTATTTTCTTAGTGATTGATGGGGGAGGTCCCAGTATATTGTCATGGGGCCTCCCCAGGGCTGGTGGTCCTGGGTTCTATAAGAAAACAGATTGGCTGGACAGTGGTGGCACATGTCTTTAATCCCAGCACTTTGCACTTGGGAGGCAGAGACAGGCTGATCCCTGTGAGTTCGAGGCCAGCCTGGTCTACAGAATGAGGTCCATAACAGGCTCCAAAACTACAGAGAAATTCTGTGTATTTGGGGGAGGAGGGGCAGCCTGAGCAAGCCATGAGGAGCGAGCCAGTTAGCAGCTCCCCTCCATGGCCTCTACATCAACTCTCGTCTCCAGACTGCAGCCCTGTTTGAGTTCCTGTCCTGACTGCCTTCTGTGATGAACAGCGCTGTGGAAGAGTGAGAGTCCCTCCTTCCCAACACCATTTTGGGCATGGTGTTTATTATAGCAGTAGAAACCCTAAGATAATTTGGATTTTATATAAACCTAATTTGTATTTTACCTTCCATTTCTCAGACGGTGAAATGAGGCAGAGAATAAACCACATGCTAGATCCCATATCCAGCCCTGCTTTAAGCCCTAGTCACATTCCATCCAGACGGCTCTGCAGGTCCAGACATGAGAGGAGAGCTATACTGTGACACGGTCTGCCTGCAGCAAGGTCTCCAGAAGACCCTATGGGACTTACATTAACATCAGAGCCTGCTCTCTCCTCAAGGGGAAGCAAGCAGCACCGTTTTCATTTGACACTTTCCATCCTATGAGGGGCCCTCTTCTTTCCAAATAGTTGACTTAAATTTTTAAAAAAGACCAAGATCTCAGACATCATAGCAATTTTCCCCCTCTAAGTTTAGAAATGGGGTAGGGGTAGGGGGCAGATGCAGGCACACAGACCAGATGCTGCTCCCATGTCTTCTCTCAATGGCTTTTTTATTATGTGAGTCTTGCTTACGTGTATGTGTGCCTGGTGCCCAGAGAAGGCAGAAAGACATTGTATCCCCTGGAATTGGAGATAGAGGTGGTTGTCACCATGTGGGGGCTGGGAATTGCACTTGGGTCCTCGACATTGGCAAGAGCTCCTAACTGCTGTGCCCACTAAACTCTAGCCCACTGTCCCCACTTTTTACACAAGGTCGCTTATTACTGAACCTGAAACTCTCCACTTGGCTAATCTGGTTGCCAGGGAGCCTGCAGGGTCTACTCACCCTCTGATGCCCATGCACGCTGTTCATACGGCTCACATGGCTAGAGTCGAATGCACAGTACCCACCCCTAGAAATGGTTTTGGGGTATTTTCATTTGGTTTTTGTTTGTTTTGGCTTCTGGAGACAGCCTCACTTTGTAGACCAGGCTGGCCTTGAACTCAGAGATCCACCTATCCCTGCCTTTTGGGTGCTGGGATTAACGGCAGGCAAAATTACGCCTAGTCCTAAAAATCATTTTAAGGTACAAATTAACTCGAGGATTTTTGGGCTTCGCCACCAAAACGCATGTGAGAAGAGATGAAGCTACATTCCAGGACAGCTCTAAATTGAAACCTACTGCTTTTAAAGGCAGATTCTCACGGGATATCAACGCTTACAGCTACCTCTTTCTATTGGCTCTCTCCTGGGTACCCTTTAAACGGCACAGGGGCCAGAGCATTCCGGCCGAATCTTATGAAACGGAACGTGCTGCTTTGGCAGAGAAAGAGCTGTGGGGTTACAGTATCACAACCCGGATACAGCTGTTTGTGACAAAGTCCCCATCACCAAATAAACACTCTGCATCACCAGACATCTGTTTCCTGTTTTTATTCTTCCCTTTATCACCCTATCCCGATTTCCTTCCACCTGTAGGCCACAAAGACAACCAAAACGAAGAAAGCCCAAGTGAGCTGTCGGTTCTCCGATGAATGTCGAGAGGGAGGTTAGTCATTCTGCTTGCAGGGATGGGGGAAGAGTCCAAGGACCCTCGCAGGACATCTGGGATGGAAGGCAGCAGTGTTCTCCCGTGAGGTGACTAACATCCTCTCCCACTTCCTGCGAAGAACTTTTCCTGTGGACGCAATGGCTGAGGCCCTCAACTGTAAACGGCATCACCAAAGAAAAGCCGTGGACAATATGGCCGAGGCAGTAACTTACCTAGGGCCCAGCACAGCAAGCGGGATCCTTTACTCCACACACAGCTACAACACGGGAGGTCCTTACCTCTCAGGCAATTTATTTCTATGCAGATCGGCTGAGGTCAAAATTCTCCTCAGGTCAAGGAAGCATCTGTGTCACTGAGCTGCTGCAGCTGGAGGCAGCGGGAGGGTGGTGTCACCCGGCGTGTGAAGAGCTGGTGCACAGGAGGGTGGGAAAGAGACTGCGGTGTGGTTGTTACACACTCCTCGCTGCTTTACAGGCTGGCCCTGCGCTTTGGTTTAAGGAGGTGAAGCAGGGATGCAGCAGCAGAATGTGGACTTTTGGTCCTGTTGAACCTCAACAGCGGGTGTGGAGGCAGACATTCTGTAACCCCAGCACTAAAGAGGGAGAGGCAGGAGTTCCACGCTGCCCTCCACTACATGTCAAGTTTGAAGCTATGTTGAGCTACAAAACTAAAATACCTCAATACTACCTCATGTTCAAAACAAGAACTTTTGTTCTGATATGACATTTTAAGAATTTTTTTCCAGACGTAAAAATAAAATGTACTCAATTCTTAAAGTTTTGGTTGTGAACAGCTGATATCCAGCCCAAAATGAACCCACTCTTAACCCATAGGGACTCACTGCTGACAATTAAAGCACATATTCTTTGTACCTGTATTCTTCCCAGTCTCCAGTGTGTCCTATTATTTCTTTCCCCTTAAACTAGCCACATGTATCTTTTTCTAAGGTGTATTAATGTATAGTGTTCTGCCTGTATGTATGTCTGTAGGCCAGAAGAGGGCACCAGATCTCACTTTAGATGGTTGTGAGCCACCATGTGGTGGCTGGGAACTGAACTCAGGACCTCTGGAAGAGCAACCAGTGCTCTTAACCCCTGAGCCATCTCTCCAGGCCCTCAAATGTATATTTTAAGATACCTGATACGGGAAGCATAAAATAAACTAGCTTTACGGAAAAATGTTTCTAAAAGCAGACACATATTGTCAGGCAGTAGTGGCACACACATTTAATCCCAGCACTTGGAAGGCAGAGGCAGGCGGAACTCAGTTTGAGGCCAGTTTGGTTTACATACAGAGTTTTAGGCTAGCCACGGACTTAGTGAGGACCCCAAATCCAAAAGAGATTGAAGAACTAATCAATTTAGTAATAGTTATGTAAAGCACTGAACTCAATACTGTCCCTATTTTCATTTGCTTACGTGGCTTATATAATCTTTGAGTAATTTTCTAAACTTAACTGAAATGTCCTGAAGTCTGAGATAAATAAATTTTTATCAACTGGAACACACTGTCTTCAAGAATAATGCTAATGGCTTGACCACTATCTCTATTCACCAATGCTGTGAAAATTAATTCATTTGTGATCTTCCTTCCTCTGCCTCCACTGCTGATATGCACCTTTGTAGTAACTCACCAGCTGTAGCCTCATTCTGAGCATCTCCATCCCTGCTGGGGACTCACAATCCTAAGGGGTGGTAGCCAAGCTTCCCTGGGGCTACTGCCTTAGCTCCGCAGCACCTGCTCCCAGGCCTACTAATCAATCCTATACACTTGCTCTTCATTCTGACAAAACAGGTAAGAAAGACCATGAAAAGATGGACAGGAAGATGTTTTAGAGTAGTTAAAATTAGGCTGAACAATGGTGGTACACACCTTTAATCCCAGCTCTCAGGAGGCAGAGACAGGCAGGCGGATCTCTGCAAGTTCGAGGCCAGCCTCTTCTACAGAGCGAGTTCCAGGACAGTTAGGGCTACTCGGAGAAACCCTGCCTCAAAACAAACAAAAAGGGTGGTAAAGAGGTGATTTTAAGTAATTTTTTTAATGACCTTTTTCTAAGGACCGTCACCTTTTGAATTTTGAGACATACACCCATAAAGGATCAGTTCTGTGCAGCTTCTGCTGCCTGTGATTTAGTTTCGGATCTGAACACACCAACAGCTACTAACAACCCCGAGGATTTGAGACCCATAAGAGCCTCTTCTCAGCCTGTCTGGTTCTCATCACGTCTGCTTTGCTGGAAGAGAGTTCAGGAGCTGTAATACTTGAGGAGATTCTCATCTGTAGGCTTCAGAACTTTCTTATCTGCCATATTCACCACCCAACCAGGAGCAAGGCCAAAGAAAATTTGCCTTGGATCTTTCCGAGCGCTGAGCATTCTGAAGAGTTCATCTTTCGTGATATCAGGAAGAACGTAGCCATACTTCATGGCGAGTTCAAGTCTTGCTTCAGGAAACTTGGCAGGGTCGGCCAGGTACCCCCGGTTCTTCGCATCCGTGTAATACGGCACCAGGGCCTCAGGAGGGAGCATTCGCTTTGGAATGGGCTGTCCCCGCAGAAAGAACGGAACAGGCTTGCACAGAATTTCTAAAGAGAATTTTTAAAAAGAGCTATAAATACTGTTAAATAATTTTAAATTAATTTTTACATTTACTGAGATGAGAACTGAACTCCAAGAACTTCTTAGTTAGACAGGTTAAGTAGAAAAATGGAAACAACTCCATAAATTTCCGTCTTCTTCTTAGTCTCCCAGGTGCTGTGCTGCACGGGGAGAGCTGATGAGGAGATGACTTCAGGAGCTGGCTCTCTCCTTCCACCATGGAACCAAACTTAGGTCAGACTTACAGAGCAGGTGGTCTTGCTACTGAGCTATCTAAGTTAGGCTGAAAAAAAATCACATTTAATAGTATACTTTGAAAAAGAAAGGAAAAGGGTAGAGGGAGGGAGGAAGGGAAGGCTTGTAAACACTTCAGATGAGCTAACACCCCTCTGAACAGTGGAGTTCATGACCGCAGCGCTCAAGGCGGTCTAAAGAGGGCAGCTGTGAGCAGGACAGACCACTAAAAACAATACTGGCAAACAAACAGCAGACAATATGAGATAAAGAAGAAACAGACCACAGAACAGACTTACCCAGACTTCTTGGGTCATAGAAGGCTGTAGTAACGACACCGCCATTTTTTTCAATTGCAGCAATGGCTAATTCTGAAGCCAACTGCACCTCAATATTCACTTTTGCTTGAAAAGTATCAGCACCCTGTCATGAGTAATAACAGGGCCTGTTAGTAAAGAGCTTAGCGGAAGGCCAATCAGCACTGGGTGTTTTCAGCTGTGCTCCCCGCTCCAAAGTGCCTACAATTCCATCTCTAAGGACCTCTGTACCTATGCCTCACCAATTCTCAAGCCCTACAATAGGAATGACTATCTTATTTCCATTTTCTGCCTTTAGCAGGTATCGAGGGAAGTAGCTGTTCCCCAGGCTCCATTAGCAGTACAGGATTTAATCCTAGCCAGGAATATTACTGTACCAAATTCAGATGGGAACAACGAGGCATACAGGCTGCTGAGTAACTCAAGACATGAAGTTAGGATACCAACTCTGAGTCTAGTCAGAACCTTTGAGTTGGAACGTTTCTTTTCCCATGCCAAGGATGGAACTCTTAAGGTCTCTTCTTCTATCAGTCAGTTACATTCCCAGCACCATCTGTGGGGGGGGGGGGGGGGTAATGTGTGAGACCACAGCATGCAGCATGCATGTGGAGGCTGGAGAACAATTTTATGGCCCTGTTTCCACCTATACATGGACTCAGGGCTTACACACATCTCCAGATCTGAGTGGCCTCTACCCATGGAGCCATTTTACCAGCTCATCTCTCTTCTCAACCACAACTTCATGCTCCACTATACAGACTGAAAACAAACCTTCACGGAGTGAGGGCTCAGCAGTTAAGAGTACGAGCTGCTCTTCCAGAGGACCTCAGTTTGATTTCCACCCACGTGGTGCCTCAGAACCATCTATAACTAAAGTTCCAGGGGATCCAATGCCAATGTCCTCTTCTGGCCTTTCCAGGCACTAGACACATATGGGGTGTAGACAATACACATAAAACATTTTTATTTTATGTGCATTGATGTCTTGCCCGCATGTATGTCTATGTAAGGTTGTCAGGTCGCCAAGAACTGAAGTTACAGACAGTTGTGAGCAGCCATGTGGGGTCCAGGAATTGGAATTGAACCCAGTTACTCTGGAAGAGCTATCAGTACTCTTAACCACTGAGCCATCTATCTCCAACCCATAAAAGATTTTTAAATTTCTTCTTCTTCTTCTTTTTTTTTTTTTTTTTTTGAGACAGGGTTTCTCTGTAGCTTTGGAGCCTGTATTGGAACTTGCTCTGTAAACCAGGCAGGCCTGGAACTCACAGAGATCCGCCTGCCTCAGCCTCCCGAGTGCTGGGATTAAAGGTGTGCGCCACCACCGCCATTTTTTAAATTTTAATAATAAAATAAAAATAAGTCTTCCTTATCCTTAAGTAAGCAATAGGAGGTTATAGAAAATCCAAAGGTCTGGAACAGCCTGGAAAACAAAATATCTGACAATACTGACGAGATTGGCTATCTTTAGAAAAAAAAAGGGGGGGGGTTCATTTTGTATTCAGCACCAACTTTGTTATACTCTCCAAAATGGAGGGGTCATCTATTTTTCCCTATAGTGTTTAATACTAGACGATGAAGTAATGAACTTCTTAAACTTATGTTATTCAGGATATGCTAAGTTTTCTCTTAACTTTAAAACATACTGTGTTTGCCATTTTAGTATGGCTGAAACTAGTTCTCAGTCTGATTCCTTTTGTCATGATTTTGAAATTCATATATTTCAAAATATTCTATTAACTATCAACTACAGGATGTAGTTTCTCTATATAGTTGATAATGGCATGCATTTTTATAATCAACACACTGATTATAGAACCAGGGACTTGATGTATTAATTTGTGATTCGTTTTTTAAATCATTGCTCTGAGGCTGGGTAGTGGTGACTCCTAGCACTCAGGAGACAGAAGCAGGTGGATTTCTCTCTCTCTCTCTCTCTCTCTCTCTCTCTCTCTCTCTCTCTCTCTGTGTGTGTGTGTGTGTGTGTGTGTGTGTGTGTGTGTGTGTTTTTTCAAGGTCACCCTGTTCTACAAAGTGAGTTCAAGGGCAGCCATGAGGCTCAATTGTGTCTTTGGTACTGCTTTTCCAAATGAACTCACCTGTTTGTTTTTATTACGGTTTGTTATTTTGTTTTTGTTGTTGTTGTTTTCCTTTAAGACAGAGTTTTATAGTGCAGTCAAGGCTCACCTAAAATTCACTATGTAGCTCAAAGTAGCCTCAAACTTCCAGCAATCCTCCAGTCTCAACCTTTCAAGTGCTGGGAGCACAGGAGTGATCTACCACATCGGATAATGAGAGAGACTGGAAAGCTCTCATCCTTAGGGCCACATTCTCAAAGGACTTTGAAAGGTTCTTCCACGGACATCTACTTCCCTCTAGTGGACACGAAGTTACTGCTCAGCTCTTTATTTAATCGGCTTATGAATTGTCGGTCAACTGGTGTAACAGCAATATTTACTGAAGTTGAAGTGAGATTTAATTCATTCCCTTTTTCCATAAATATTAAGCAACACTCAGAGCTAAGATCATCAATACTGAAGCCATAACAAAGTGCCTACCTTTACAAGGCTTAGGTGACAGTAAGAGAAATAATGAAATGGAAGGGCAGTGGCACCAGAGATTAAGAAAAATGAGTTGGGAGGTTGGAGAGATGGCTTAGCAGCTAAGGGAACTAACTAGCTGCTGCTCCAGGGGGCCAGGATTCTATTACCAGAATCCATACGGTAGCTCCTAGTACCTGGAACTCCAGTTCTAGTGAATCCAAAGCTTCAGCTGGCAGCAGGCACACATATGGTAGGTACATGCCGGCAAAACACTCACACACATAAAAACAACAGAAAGAAGAATGCTATGGGCAGAAAAAGGCAGGGATAAAGTGTGCTTCTAAGTGGGAATAGGGCCACAGGCTACACTTCAACTACTGACAGGCTCTTGTCACCTCGCAATACACTTAAACTATGTTTTAGAAAGTGTGGGGTAGATGGACAGATGTAGTGGCACATGCCTGTCATCTCAGCACTCAAGAGACAAAGGCCAGCCTGGTCTACACAGTGAGTTCCAGGGCAGCCTGACAGAGCTACCTTGCCTCAAACAACAAAAATAATTCCAGAAAGATCTTTCTGGGGCTGGAGAGAGGGCTGAGAGATTAAGAGCACTTGCTGCTCTTCTGGGTTTGGGGTTTGGTTTCCGGCACCCACATGGTGGCTCACAACCATCTGTTAAGTCCAGTTCCAGGGTATCTAATGTCCTCTTCTTAACTCTGGAGGCACCAGAGACACTACGGTGCACATACATAAAGCAAAACACCCATATACCTAAAACAAAGAAATCTAGCCTTTTTCTGCCCAAAGCATTCTTTCTGTTGTTTTTATCCCAGCACTCAGGAGGCAGAGGCTGGCAGATTTGTGATTTCAAGGCCAGTCTGGTCTACTGAGTGAGTCCCAGTCAGAGCTACACAGCGAAACCTGTCTTGAAAAACAAAACATTTGAAAAATTCTTTTAAGGATTTTCCTAATGACTTTCTATGTTGACAGGTGAACAACTCAGAAATAAGGGAGACAGCTGTACTGATCCAAAGAAGCAGAAGACAGAAATGTGCCCTGAACGTACGTCAGCTTCCTATAACCACAGCTAGTATGAACTATGTTGTTTGCTTGTTTGTATTTATTCTATGTGTATGTGTGTTTTGTCTACATTAATATCTTTGTACCATGTGCATGCAGTTCCCAACAAGGCCAGCAAAGGGTGTTGGATCTCCTGGGACTGAAGGTACAGATGTTGTGAGCAATCATGCGGATGCTGGGACTCGAACCCAGGTCCACTAGATGAACAGTAAATGTTCTTTACCACTGGTCTATTTCTCCAGCCCCCAAGAAGGGGTAAGAGTTAAGCAGTCCCTCAGCTTTACCTTCAGTTTTTGTTCCTGGTTCTGCAGAGCGAGGAATCAAGCCAAGACCCTGTGCAAGCTGGAAAGCACATCTCCCCTACATTTAGGTTTTAAACTGTTGGAGCATTGGGAGGTCTCATGCTGCTTCGCCCCAACCCTCCCAGACATGAATTACACCTTTCTAAACCATATTCACATTCTATCTGCTACCCACCCACCAGCCTGCCATCGTATCACAATGCTGCACGGTTACCCCTTATCTTAATTAATGGTGACCCCAGCATACAAAAACAACGATGCAGACAATTCGGGTATAACAAAGAGGAGCTATGAAGTGTGAACCTGAAGTGGAGAGATCGAAGCTCTCCATTTAATAGAGTCACAGTTAATGTTACTAACAACTGTAGCAGATTATTACTAACTTCCCACTATGCCTAACTTATGAATGAATCTTTACCAGATATCTATAGGAAAAGAAGGAAACGGTTTACACAGTGTGGTGACGCCCACAGTGAAGTATCCGCGTGAGCAGAGTGGAGCACCAGGGACTAGTAGGGCAGAGTGTCTACAGAATACCCAAAGCCAACAACAACAAATGGAGTTACCTCTTCAACCAGCTGGACCCCATAATCCCTCTTAAGCGGCTGGATGGTCACGCCTCTGCCGTTGACAAGCTGGGTTAAGTCGATAGGCTGAGTTGGATCAACTCGCCCTAAATCAATGAGATACTGCAGTCTCCTGAGACTCAAAGGCTGATACTGATGCCTGAAACTGCAAACAGAAACAGAACAGTCAGATAACACCAAGTCATCTTCCTGAAACCTCTTCAAATCAACAAGCTTTGCTCTGTGTTTGCCTTCCTAATTTCTGATGGTTTAACATAAACTTATGAGGACAATACAAACGCATAAAACGCCAGTGCTTCCTTTGTTTCACTAAAAACAATTTACCTCTCTAAACATTTACTCCATCCACGCACACAAGGAAATTGTTCACAAAAGTTTAACCCAAAATGACAGATCATAGAATAGTCACTACAATATGCCATATACATATTATGTATGTCCATATATATATAGATATGATACACAAGCCCTTTAAATTGCCAGTCAGCTAAGGAGTCATGACAGCAAGCATTAGCCCCATTTTGTTGATCCAGCAGAACAACTGGGCTTGTATGCTTGCCTAAGAGCACGCATGCACGTGTGTGCACACATATATACAAAATCTAGATTAAATTATTCAGAGGAACAGTATCACAAATGTAAGTAAGTATCTACCAAACTATTTATTTATGCAATTCTTGATGGAAATTAGGGATCTGTACTTCCAAAGCAAAACATCCTTACCTATGTCCTTCATTAAATCCGTATTTTGGGATCCGGATGTAAAATGGAGTCTGCCCTCCCTCGAAACCCAGCCGGGGCCGAGTTCCTCTCTGCCTTTCTCCTTTGTGGCCTCTGCCACATTTCCTCCCTCTCCTCCGGTCTCTTGGACGTCTTTCCTATAAGGAAAAGTGAGTGACAAGACCTTCAGATACATTTCTGACAACTGTTTCCCCTCACACATATTCCTTTCTGACTCCCGATATGCAGCCAAGCAGTCCTAGTTCAGGCACCGTGTGCCCAGCACCGCTCAGGCTACTCAGTCACCTACTACACCACTCACTGAACGTAGCTAATTCTAATAACCAAAACGCAGAGCCAAGTTCTAAGGATGGGAGAAACAAGCTCTACAACGAGCTAGCTCCCTGGCTAGTCAGCTTGTGCTGGCCTGCAGTGACAGCTACTTGGAACGCTGAGGCAGGATTCAAAGTTCAAGGCCTGCCTGAGCGACACAAATTTAAGGGCAGCACTCCCAATTTACTAAGACTGTGTCTCTGAATAAATGATTTAAAAAGCAGGAAAGGGGTTGGGGGTAGTGCGCTTGATTAGGCATGCCCAGGGCCTAAATTTAGTCCTCAGTAGAAAAGCGGCAGGATTGAAAAATATCCTAGAACTAAGCAGCCAAGACTTGAGCGATATTGTTTTATGTTTAATTAATCATAAATGTGTAACTGTATGGCTAAGGAAAACTCCATTTTGTGCTAGACACCCATTTTAAATTCCTAAAAGATAAACTCTTGGCAACTTGGACTCCTCGTCTCCCTCCCCAGAATTGTAAAACTGTTGTAAAATTAACCGCTTGCTTTGGTTTCTGTAAACTCCCTACTTAGCGAGGAGGGAGGCAGTATCTCACGAAGGCGTGAGTCCCACGGAAATGCTCCCATAGAAACGCAGAAAAGCTCTTAAAGGGGGGCTTTAAACCCCACCTCCCTCTAAGTTGGGTCTCAGTTCGAAATCTGACCACGGGAACTGATAGCTGCAGCTTAAAATAAAAACTGTGGCTGAGAACTGGATAGCGTCGGGTGGTCTTTCGATGTTTTCTAACTCCGTAACAATGTCGTCCCTTTAATTTACTTTGTCACCTCCCCAAAACAACAAACTGAGTGACAATAAAAGGCGACAGACAACAGCTTTTCTAGTCGTGCCGCGGGCTGCACGCGAACTGCTGAAGTGACAGGCACTTTTTACTAAAGGACTTCTTCGGTTTAGATGCAATCTGGGGCGAATCGTTCTGGAGCTCCGAGAGTGTGCCGCTATGCACACTTAGCATCTTTGTGCATTTAAGTGCGAGCCTTGGTAATTCGGGGCGCACGCGGGAATGGTCGGAGCCCGGGAAACCCACACGCGTCCTTCACACCGGGTCGCGACGCAGTCCCACGATTCCCTGTACCACCGCCATCCGTTTACCTGTTTTCTGGAGTCGGGGTTGGGCTTCAGGTTGGCCAGGCTCACTCGCGGCAGGGACCGGAGCAGGTCCAGGCTGGCCCCGCAGCCCCGCGCCCCGACAGCCATGACCCACGCTCTTCCCAAGGGCGCCCCGGGAGGCAGCGCGGCTCGGCGTGGCTTTACGGCCCCACCCCGCCCATGTCGCGCGGCAGCGCGCCGGCGTCCGCGGAATCCGGAATCTCGCTTCCGGCTTCCGGCTTCCGGGTTTAGTGGGAAACTGGGCTGGTTTGAGTGTTTGGAGTGTCCTCAATTCTTAGGCTTCGGTACCACGTTCTGAACGAAATACGTTCGCTTACACGCTGAAAGGACTAGGGACGCTGTGTATTAGAAGGTCTTTTGAGTTGAAATTTGTCTTTGGGCTTTTTAAAGTGGCGTCTCATAGAGCGAAGAGTAATCCAATATAATGTTAGCAGTTTCTAGCTTTGGGGCTTTGGCAAAACAACTATTACAACGTCTGCCTCATCTTTCTTTCCTGACTGTTACTGAATTGCTAACTTGAGCGATATATCACAGTTAATGACGGAGGCCATACTGAGTGCCTTTGTACCAGAAACCGCGTTGAGTTAGCTTTCCGGGATTCAAGCCAATCAGATTGACTCGTTCTCACAACAAGCAGCAAAGCCAGGATTCAAAGTTAATGATCTTACATTGCCAAACATATTTGACTCCAAAACTAAGTGATTTTAAATGTTTGTCTTAATACAAGTAATATAGAAAAGAATGTGTTCCTTTTGGTATTATTTTGCCGTTTCACTATCTTGCAGAAGATTTGCTCCTGCTAGCTCTTACTAACAAGCATATTGCTAAAGTGTAATGGGCAGTTGTTTATAAATCTAATCACCTTTTTGAAGTTACTGTAAAAGGCTTGGGGGGGGGGGGTATTTGTTTTTGTTTTCATGTGTATGTGTAACTTTGAGAACTGGCAGAGGCCAGAACAGGACTTCCAGTCTTCTGGAATTGGAGTATAGGTGGTTGCCCCAAACCAAATGCAGGTCCTCTGAAAAAGTAGTAAATGCTACACAGCTAAGCCCTCTTCCCAACCTCCAAATCAACTGTAAAACAGCTACATAAACAAGTTACTTTCATGCCTTTAAACAATGAGCAAGGCCCTAGCTGAGGAAGTCTAATCTAAATATTGCTCCCAGGTTGATTGTTAAAGACCCCTGGAGTTGGGAGACTCTCACTCAAATCTCAGGATAACTCGACCCCCCAAGAACTCACAAGAGACCGTCCTTGCTGTAATCACATGAGGTTTATTGACAGAAACCAGCTCACTTGGGCTGAGATTCATACCCCACATAGGGGTAGAGGAGTTCGACCCCAAGTAGCTGGGAGAAGGGGTATTTAAGGGAAGAAACCACAATCCAAAGGGGGTAGGAAGGGCGTCATTGGAAGATTCGGAAAATATCAGTGATAATCTCAAGGGGGTAACTCCCCATTGTTATTCTTTTTTTAAAAAATGCTGCAAGATCCCCGCAGCAGTAGGCAGCAGAAATGCTGTAGGTCCCAAATGGTGGCAGCGGGCCATGTGGTGGCAGACAGCGGGCCCTGGGAGCAGCCAGTCCCAGGCAGAGACAGCTGCTGGTCCCAGAGCAGTGGTGGCGGGCAATGGCTGGTTCCATCAGGGTGAGGTTGAATGTTTATTCAGGGGGTTATGGAGGAGGAAGGGTGAAGGAGGGGGGGGGAGAGAGAGAGAGAGAGGAGAAAGAGACAGAGAAGGGGGGAAGCAGAGAAGTGGGGGAGAGGCAGAAGCGAAGCTGCCTCTCCAAGAGGAAGATGGAAAAGAGAAGAGAGCTCAGGCCAGAAGCTGAAGATCTGCCTGCCTCAGCAGATGGGGGAGGGAGTGGGCGTGGCTTGTCTCTTAAAGGGACCAAAACCATAACACCCATTTCTCAAGATTGTTCTCAAGATTATAATCTAACTTTGTGGTCAGCCAGCTCCTGGAACAGTCATGGAACCAGCTAACCTAGATTTTTGGCTCTACTCTTCCTGCTAGGGGGTCTGGATTTATCCTGGTCTTTCACAAGTAGCACAGAATATAAACCTAAGAATTAACAAAAAAAATTATACAAAATTAAACAGAGGAAACTGAAAGGTTTCTGATGATTCAGAAAGTCCAGATCAGACCAGATTAAAAACAGATAAATGCAGGTTTATTGAGCATTGCCCCAGGAAAGGTTCACCAGTCCCAAAGAACAGAGCCAAGGAAGTCACACTGGAGCTAAGGCAGGGCAGTTTTATAGACCTTAGACAAGGAGTGATAGCCAGGTGTTGGAAATGCCCCAGTAAGGTTAAAAGCCAAGCCCCTGGCAGGCACTTGGGTGGGCTGGTCCTGTCAGGAAGGCTGGTTGTATCATCAGATGCCAGAAATATGGAACTGGGCTCTTGGTGCCATTCCTCAGTTGAGAGTTTTCTCAGAATGGGCCAAATTGGAGAAAGTGGGGCAAATGGGGTTTCCCATCTTGTGCAGGGATGAGCAGGGTTTCCAGCCAAGCAGAAGTTATCATCAAAGTGAAAAGGCAGCCTATGGAGTAGGAGAAAAATCTTTGCCATTTAGACTACAAACAACTACAACTATTAAACGCAAGGAAGCCTGCCAAGCAATGAATGGGTTAATAAACTGAACAGATAATTCTTAAATGAAGGCTCACAAATGACCGATATGTATTTTTATTTTTTTAGAACAGGGCCCTACTGGGTAGCTTTGGCTTGCTTGGGACTTTATATGTAGACCAGGCTGGCTTTGACCTCGCAGAGATACCCCTTGTCACTGCTTCCAGAATTCTGGGATCAAAGTTGTATGCCACCACGCCCACCTTCTGCAGCATTTTTATAGTGTATATTTAACCTTCTAGCTTTGTCCTCATTTGCCTATTTCCGTTAGAGAATAACCTGTTACTTTAGAACAGAAGTAATTTATACTTTTCATCTAAAAAAAAAGCATTTTTAACCTACTTTAGAAAAAATACTTTATTAACTTTAACTTTACTATCTCAGCTTCCCTCTCTTACTTGATGGATACTGTGGGTTTTTTTTCACAAAATATAGAAAATACTTATTTTTAACAAAATAAAGTAGCTTCCTCTGAAAACAAAGGAAGCTGAATGTGAGACAGTGAACGCATACATTCTACCTTAACTATCCAATTATAAATCAAACATTTTAACAGTCCTGAAAACAATAAGCTTCAATAAACCAACTAGGTTTTAAGTTTTATTATAGCAGGCATTTAGAAGTAACTATTAACCGTTTACATTCAGATGCAAGTTTGACATCATATATTTCCTTTACTTCTAACTAGATTGTTTATACATATTAGTCATTTAAAAAGAATTTTCCCTATATTATTTTGTTGTTCTTTAAACATGAAAGTGTAGGAGGAGGGCCTGCTTGTTTGTCCTGGCCACCCAGAACCAAAATAACCACACAGAAGCTGTATTAAATCACTGCTTGGCCCATTAGCTCTAACTTCTTATTGGCTAATTCTTACATCTTAATTTAACCCATCTCTGTTAATCTGTGCATCACCTCGAGGTCGTGGCCTATCAGCCAAGTTCCAGCACATCTATCTCCAGCGTCAGATCCATGGCATCTCCTCATCTGCCCTTCTTTACATTTTTAAATGAACTACACAATCACAATACCCCAATCAAGAGCAGAAATATATATATATGTATATATATACACATATAACAAAACTAACCTTAAATTTTTATCAATAAACCAAGATCCATATCAATGTAAATCTCTATAGCATATCTATATCAAATACATTGTAAATGAAAAGTACATTTTGTGACAGGCCATGCCTACCAGATCAGAAGACCAGGCAGGCTGCCCTTGCACCTTCCCCACTCTCTCTGTCCCCCAGATGCAATCCCCAGAGTTGCCCTAAGCTCTGTAACAGACCATCCTCCTTGGCCTCCCCTCCCCTGAGCCTTTAATACCAGCAGGCATTCCCCATAAAAACACCATCTATGCAGACCAGCAGAACAGGCAGCACACAGCAAACACACTCTCTGAAAATACAGAGTAAAAACAGAAACCAAGGAACAAACACCCAGCCAGCAAAGACAAACCCAGAAATCAGCACCTGGACCCAAACTCAGATGCCTAGAAACCTGTCATTAAGAGTCTGCAATCAATTTCTCCTAATTTGCACCTTTTGGGGTCTAATTTTTTGAAAACCTATTTTATAGCCTAAATATTTAATAAAATCTCCTTTTTGTATTTTTTTCAGGAGCAATTTGTAATCCCCAACAAGGCAAATTTTTCTTTACTTCTTCAAATATTCTTTCTAAAGTATACACATTTGAATCAGATAGTAAAATTGCATCCAATTGTTCTTTGCTAACTGGTATGTCCATAATGGTTTCTGTTTTCTTTACAATACCCCCTGAATCATTCCCAAATACAAAAACAATAGTGTCTGTTTCTAAGTTCAGAGAGGCCCTTTAAGTCTAAAGAAAAAGCTCTAACATTTCTTTTGCTTGAACAACTTCAGTCCTTTGTATCTGGCAATATCACATCAACACTTAAAACGCACTTAGCATCTTTGAGGTCAACAGTGGTATCAACTCTGAGAATATGTTTTCTAAGACCACAAGACATCTCAACAGTGCCAGGGTTTTGAAGATGAGTGTTGGAGGCACGTAGGCACTTTGCAGCAACAAAGAAAGATCTCAACATATTTTTGAAACACCTTAGACGTGAAGAAAAGACACAGGAAGCTGCTGCCATGGAAACGGTACAGACAACACTTTTACAGTTGCTTCTTGAGTGGCCACTCTGAAGCTGCTGTTTCTAGATTCTCTATTTCTTCTTCAAGACCCTTGAGGATCTTCTCATGATTATTTTACCATCTTTGTGACTTTCATAATTATAAAATTTAAAAGTCATATAACCAAAATTTTAAATAAAATTGTTATTAAAATAAAATATATAGGTATTTTAGTGGGGATTACATGGTAGATTAAGTCTGAGAAAACTGGTAATCTAATAATATTGGATGTTCCTATTCAGTTGTCTTTTCTTTACCTAGGTAACTTGATACTTTCCTTAATATGGGTTTAATACATTAAAATTTTGCTTATGCAAAGTAAAATTCCTCTGCAGATGTCACTATGAGAAAACTTT